AAAAAAAAAAAACTTTTATTTTGAAATTTCCAAAACAATAAACAAAGATTTTAAATAAAAGGTACGGAGCACAAAGTGCAATATTTCCATCCAAAGTAAAGCGCAGTAGAAGTACAGAGGAGAATAGAAATAAAACAAAGATGGATCTGTTTAAATAAATTAAAAGTAAATTAAAACTTCATAAGTAAAGTTAGTATATTAAGTAAGTACTTTCATCCAGTGCGGTTGAATAACACTCAAAGTAATCTACTGGCACAAGTATTAAAATGAGTTTCAGAATAATGTTTTTGATTATAATAACTGTGTGTAGATTAACGTGTCCATCACGTTAAATTAGCAGAAAATGAAAGCAAACTACAAGTACCTTAGAACCGAGTACAGTACTTAAGTAATGACTACTTTTACTTTTACGATACTCTCCGTTTCACGATCAGGTGAAAGAATGAAACACAAACTCGTTTTGTTTCCTCTGGATGAAACAAGCGTAACCGCAATAACAGGAAGTTTGATTGTAGCTTCTTCTCCAGATGCTGTCGAGTCACAGAGTCAGATGTCATCACGTTTCGTGTCGTGTGTTTGGGTGTGTGTTACCTGACATGAAGTGAACTGGTCGCACTAATTTCCGCTCAATGAAGAAACTGCTGACAGAAACTATAACCGTCCTCGAGTTTTATGCTTGATTTTTTATTTTTCTACTTTATGTTTTATTTTTAAATCCTTCAGCGGTATTTTTGCACGTTTTTAACTCAGAAAAGACGCAAGAAAGAGAGAGAGACAGAGAGGGAGCGAGAGCAGGTATGGCACAACAGGCCGCCGCATGACTGACATTAATGAGGTCGGAGGAGTACTCGGGGTTGGAACGAGCAGAGGACGAGGAAGTGAAGTTTGACATTTGAATTACGCAGAAATGAGCGAGTTTTGCTTTTCCAAGCTGAAGAGAAAAACGTCTGTTGATCGATTTTCTAGTTTTTGTGCGCAAATGCGCCCAAATCCGGAGACGCCGGTGGCACTTTTACGCGCAGGACTTCTGTTGAGTTTATTTAGTTCGTGCGCCTGTTTGGGTAAGATGCCTGACTGTCTGCAGATCGCACGGTGACACAATGACAGTAAATAGCGTGTCTCCTCTTTGTGCGCAGATGACAGTTGTTTTCTGGGGATCGTGGGACGGCCAGTGTCTCTGCCTTGCGCTCTCCCTGAGTTAGTCAACTCCGAGAATGTCACCATTGAGTGGATGAGAGACAGTGAGTTGGTACTCAGGTCGGTATGGAAGCCCGATGGAAGTGTGGAGACATGGAGCAACAACAGAGTCGCAGTCCCAGCTGACGCTCCTCTGACTGGAAACGTGTCTTTAAACCTGCCAGCGGTTCGTCCCGTTGAAGACCAAACATCTTACAGCCTTTTCATGGTGTTAGGGAAGAATCAGAGCGCCAGGCTGTGCACCGCATGCCTCAGGACAGCAGGTAAGTCCCGCGGGATTCAGGGGGAAGCAGAAGAAGGATATTTAGAAGTCCAGTCTCTGGTGGTTGGTGGCAGCCACGGCTGTAAAATTTGTCGGAGTATCGAATGAGGACATGTTAAAAGCAGGAAATTTTAAGCACGAGACACTTAATTTTTTTGTATTTTAAGGATTTTTTAATTAACAAAATTGAACGTTTTCTAGATGTGTTTGTGACCAAAGTCTCTGTATTCATGTACAGACACAACATTCAGGTTCCAGTTCAATATACGTTATGGTGCAGTGAGTGCATGTTTTCTTTTAACTTTGCACCAACACAGTTACAGACATTATTGATTCTTCTTCCCTCTTTGCCTGAGTCCAGATGGGAGTCAGAGTTTCTGAATTACGTCGGATATAAGGTCACGTTTGTCTCTTGTTCACATCAGTGGTAGATGATCTTATCATATAAACACCTGAATTGTAACAGTTCAGATGTGTTTCAGCAAAACTGCTGCACATTTATAACACGCCACACGTGTCTGTAATGATTTGTAGGTACCATATGTAGTTAGATGACTAGAAAAAAACAATAAACTGCTGCATGAAAACATTCACAATCATATTGTGGGAGTGTTGGAGGCATTGTTTCCATGATGAGTAATGTCTTAATGCTTTCTCTAATTCCTCAGCTTCTTTCATGTAATTACTGGAGGAAAAGAGATTCTAAATATTACTAAATATAGAATCAACACATATGTTTGCAGCCAGTTTCAGCACCCCAAAGTTGGAGAAGGAAGAGGCAGTGCAGGGCAATGAGAAGGTCTTCCTGTGTCACTCCACTGGAGGTTATCCCACACCTGCAGTGTACTGGCTCATCAACGACAGCGAGGAGCCCCCCGCAGGGTCGGTGAGGACTCAGATGACATCACTCCCAGACAATCTCTACAACATCACCAGCCACTTGACCCTCAACCTTTCTGACGACTCCGTTGTGTCGTGCATCATTGATAACCAATCTATGAACCAAACCGTGATGTCAACCTGTAAGTGCAGTCATTAGTGTTCAGACACAGCAGATTCTCCGTATCTGTGAAACTCATAGTTAAGCAAATTCTGCTATCAGCTGGTTCCCTATACTGGGTAATGTCACGCGTCTGACTGGTTTGATATTAGTTAACATTAGCAAACCAGTCCAGTTTTTATCATCTTTGAATGTTTGAAAGCTTTAGTTTGACATGTAAAGACAGACAGTTTGTTTTGTTTTTTAAATCTTATCACTTTTGGATCAATCAGTTAATCAATCAGTCAAAAATTTTAAAAGTCACCTTGGTGATGTACATCTTTTAAATACAGTCTATGGATTTGGACTCTGGATTTTAAATCTTCTTCTTTAGTGTTTTTTTATTGCAGGTTTTTTTTTAGTCAGATGTTATTTATTTATTTATTCATTTGTTTATTTATTTACACTTTATTTATTGGCCTTGGCTCTATGGCACACTGAAAACATTTGTACTATTGTTTTTTCCTGATGATTGCTCAGATGTAGTGGAGGTCAGGCCTGTGACGACTCGAGCGTCATCGGCCATGTGGATGTACAGCATAGGTCTGTGTGTGGTAGTTGGGATCATGGTGATAGCTGCAGTGGCGTATCAGATCCACCTGGACAAAATAAGCAAGAGGAAGAAGGAAGAGCACAAACAACAACAGAGAGGTAAGCAGATCAATGTGTGTGTTTATCAGTGAATTTAATAGACAATAGTGCAAATAGTTAAATCAAATATTTGCAGCCTTTGCCTTCAGACTGGAACCTGTGGAGCTTTTTTATTGGTGGACTTTATGGAGAAATTATGGAAATTCTGTTTTAGCTTCTGGGAAAAATGCCCTGATAAGAGGCTCTTAGTTTCTATTTTTATATGAGTCTGGATGAACGTTCGAGCATGCTGTCATGCTGCAAAGCAAACCTGTGCCTCCTTTAATAAAGCTGTGAGACGTGTGCCTGAGATCACAACATTAGGAACGTCTTCTGTGAGACGTCACACAGAGCTGGATGTAGAAAATCACATCCAGTTTATTTAATTATACATAAACTCAATGTGCTTAATGATAAACACATAAAAACCTGTGAAGGTTTAAAATACCTTAAGGCAGTGAAAACTTCACAATAAAGCTTTACAGAAAAACTACAGTGTTGAGGGCGGCACAGTGATGCAGTGATTAACACGGTCACCACATAGCAAGAAGGTCGTAGGTTAAAATCCCACCAGGGGCCTTCGTTTGTGGAGTTCATGTGTGGGTTCTCTCAGAGTACTCTGGCTTCCAGTCCAAAGACATAATGGGATCAGGTTAACTGGTGATTCTAAACTGGCCGTCTGTGTGTTCCCTGCCTTTCACCCTGTCAGCTGGGATTGGCTCCAGCCCTCTGTGACCCTGATTGGATAACAGAAAGAAAACGGATAATTGAGTGATGAGCTGCTGAATGTCAGCCTGTGTGAACACAAAAGGTTTTGAGTGTTGATCTGAGGGCATCTTGCTGTACTGGGGCCAAACCATTGAGAGTTTTATGAACTATTAAAAGGATTTTTAAAGGGAAGTTTATAATGTGGTGGGAGCCAATGAAGTGTCTGTACTGGAGCAAAATACAATTTGAAAGAGCTCATTAAGCTGATGACTTGGAGACCCTGGAACAGTCTGAGCTTTTCCCTCAGCAATCACTTGTACTGACCTCACTGTATAAAACCTGTTTAATATGAGCATCCACCATTTTTAAAAGTATTTATATGACACAAAAACAAGAGAAACTACAACAGAGCTGTCAGGTTGTTAATTTGTCACCATCAGGACGGCATCAAGTCAGGTTGGAAGACGAGCTGATGAACCAGGAACAACGGGAGACGGATGTTTGAGTCCTGACGGTCACTTAAAAACAGAAGCAACAGAGCAGTGACGTGTAAATATGTTTGTTGTAATTACCATTTAAATATAGTTTTTAAAATACTGTACAAGAACAATTCTTGGAGGTTGTTTTATGTGTAGTTTTTGTTTTTTGCGAAAACCTATTTGAAGATTTAATAAAGACTTCCAAAATGACACCAAGCCCTCTTTTACTTCATAGATCTATAAAAGTGTACGAGAGGTGAATTCATGTTTCTTTTACAGTAAAAGAAAGCTGCTTGGATTTCAGGTTTGTTTGTTTTTTATTCTTCAGCACTGATTCAGAAACAAAGAAAACTCTGAAAACAAACAAGCGTAACCAGAGATGATAAATGAGTCACTGCTCATCAAAAAGATTTTAACCAGATCTGGATACAAGAGTCACAGCTTTTAATGCAACGTTTCTTCATTCAAGTAATCTTAAAACAGCCAATCAGCGACTGTCCAGCTGATTCTCATGTCTTCCTCCTCTGTGGACCGTGAGACAGCGAGCTGCTGCTTCCTGCTTCTCTCTTCAATCTACTTTAACAAGAATCACGTGGATGAGAATTTACAGGATCCTTTTTGCTCGATTTGAAGAGCTGGACCCGAGTTCAGAGTTCAGCTCGAGCCTTCCTGCACTGACGTCACCGCGTAGAGGTCGTCCCGACGCTGAGATGTGATCGGGATCTGCTGCCGGATGTCGGCCAAATACTGCAGGTCTGAAAACACGCGACACGTTTAGAGAGAAGACACAATAACAGCAACGCCAGAGTAATACGAGCACTCTGCAGTAACTGCTGCTGAAACGTTTTCTGTTTTACATGGTCAGGTCTTCATTTTTATTATTATTCTGTAGAGAAA